AACAGAGATGCCCTTTGTTCCTAGTAGCGTCCTTGCATGCTCCTAGTAGTAAGGCCAGGAGCCCCTAGTAAGCGTCCTTGCTCCTAGTAGCGAAGCCAGGAGCGCCTATAGTAGCTTCTAGAAGTTACTAAACAAAGAAAGGTCACGTGCCCGGACCGCGACCCCTGCAGTCACTTTTGTTTGCTACTCTGCCGGCTCCGGAGTCCTCATCATCTCTTCCTCCCTCTCATAACATCTCATAACCACTTCAGGCACCTGACGAGTCTGAGCCAAAGGAGTGAACAGTTCTCCATGGTTTCAAGCTGGAATTTCACAGGTCCAACGCGTCCGTCGCCCCATCGAGCTCGCGAGCGAGCTCGAGTCTGCTTGCTTCCACGTCGCGTGGAACCGCAGCGTCCTTTTTCTGGCCTGGAACCGGCATGCGTCTGGTGGTGTCTAAGCTATTCTGAGAATTCCAACTGCGAATACCACGGTTCTTCTCAAAGTCTCAAAAGTTGCTGGAATCTCAACCAACCGAAAACAGGATGTTTTCCCAGTCCCACCACTTGTAAAAAGGATCTCAAGGAAACCATAGTGAAACAACCAATTGTTTCTGCTTTTCGCCCAAAAGAGCCTCAAATGGATTCGCCTAAGACCGAGACCCAACTCAGCGACGTCTGCAGCATCAACACACTCGTTAATGTGTCCTTCTTCTCAGTGTGTTTCATGTGTTTCAGGCTGGAAACTAAACCATCCTGTTTCATCTTCTCAAAGGGTGCCCTTCTCAATAAGGGCATCCTGGAAATCCTCCTCGATGCCCAGCGGTGGCCTCTGAACGGTCGCGCCGCACAATGGGAGACGCGAAGATTTGGCTCTGCATGGCCATTCCTGGCATGACGAGTGACCGTCACGGCGCCGGTTCGTCAGTGCAAATGGCCTATGGGGCCTCAAAGTTTGGCAAAGTTCAGCTCACCAGTTCAACGGAGTAAAACAATACGTTCATATGTTCACATCGACATGGCCAGCTAGTCTCAGATTACTGCCAGTTTTTTTCTCCGTTGCGGAACAAAGACACAGGACACAAGAGCACACAATGAACAAACCGACACGGATGTTGTGGGTGTGTTTCTGCAGCGCTTGGTGATCAACTCGGCTTGCCTCACAAGCACTTTACTTGAACAAGATTGAAATGGCTGGTTGCAATTCAGCCTTTTAGTCTGCCAATTTCAGGATGCAGGATGGGAATGACTAATAATATGAGACTTCTTATATGAGACTCATGACTGACTCGTTGGTTCGTTCCGTTCCCTTGCTTGCAGCGGGCTGCAGCGACGTCACGTGTGTTCCGGCCCTTGGCCGGGGGAGAAGAAGCTCTGTCGCATCTGGATACCTCCAGGATCCTTCATGGCAATGATCTCCTCCCTCTTTTAGAAGCATCGGACCATCGGTTCGAACCATCGGACTCCCAGCTTCGAACTGATTTCTCGAACGAAGAATCGGACTCCCAGGTCTGGCAGCGATCCGAGTCGGGCCCGATCGCGAAGATGAAGCCCGGAGGAATTGAAGTCGGACGTGAATCGTTGCAACGAACAGTGAAGCCGCCAACTCTGAAACCGCCAACGCTGCCGATGAGCCTCCTTGGGCTCTGAACTCGTGATATGTTCTGTCCGACGCTCTCGGAGCAGCGAACGGGATCTCGGACATGGTCGCTGTGAGAGCAGCAAGTCTGTTGGGACACAGGGGAAGGTTACACGCAAGCACCACACGAGCAGCTGAGCACGAGCACAGACAGGAGAGCTCTGATTCATCAGATTCTGTTTCATGAAAGGCCCACCTTTTGTGCAGTCGTCAATTCCAACCTCAAGCCATTCGTGCGATACCTTCCAACAATTTGACATTCGAAGCACCAGGAGCTACTAGTAGCTTCTTGCTCCTAGTAGTGGCTTGTTCCTAGTAGCAATGCCAGGAGCTACTATAGTAGCTTCTTGCTCCTCCTCATGTTCAGGCGTGGACGTGTGTGGCTTCCCATTGAGCCCATGGCGACGCGCCTTGTGGCTTCCCAAAAATACACCTCTGTCAGCTCTGATCTCCGCAGAATCACACCCTCGGGGAACCTGACCCCCCCAACAAATCGGTCGGGAGTTTGGCTTCGGTCTGCACATCGGAAGTCCCAACCGCTTGGAGCGGTGCGGGGACCAGCGCCGCACCGATTCCCCCTCAGGTTCAGTACGACTGGACCCGAGCTGGCTGGCACCGTCTCATCATAGTGCCTCCTTCCTCACCGCAGCGATCGGAGAGTGCAGTGGATCCTATATAGGCATTGGTGACGGCCGCCACTTGCGCGGCACAACCTGCCCACCGCAAGCGGCAGGGAGGCTCTGTCATCCACTCTTGATCGAACAGACTTTGCTGCTTCCACACTTGGGTGCTATCCCACCAAAAAGACAAGCACCCAAAAGCTGAAATTCATGTAATTCAGCTGTGTACTCCATCATGCTCCACTTCCCTCCCCCATCAGCGACCCCATGAACGGCCGTTCGCTCCGCGGACTGTTCAAGCCCGCCTCGCAACGGGATAGACCGCCGAGATCCCCCGGATTTGACAGGCGCTGCTTGGAGTCGGATGGAGCGGCCGGATGGTTCGACGATCGAAGGGGAGTCCAAAACGATCGAAAAAATATGGGAACGACCTGGTTTTGCAGCGTCAAATCCCCATCTCTAGTTAACCAATGGTTCGGGATGAAAACACATGAACAGGACCATGACATATATGTATATATTTAAATATCACCCAAACGCTCATGGACCATCATATGGAGGGGCCTGGGGTCTCAAGACCTCGGGTTTTTTGTGGGCGTCTGCGTCTGGGTAGCTGGAGCGTCTTGGGGAACTTGCGTGGTTGCTTCCAGTTTCACCCATCCGCACAACCAACTTGACGAGTTGATTCATGATCCTAATGTTGTTTTCAATTCATCCACTTCATTCACCAAGCAAACTCAGGTCAATGAACTGTGGGTCTGTATCCCTCTGAGTGTGCCCATCGCCATAGATGAAGATACTCCTGACTTGGTGCTTCAAGATGTTTTCTAAGAATTCAAACAAATCTGAGTTGACGTGGATTCAGTATGGTTAAATCATCCCAAGGAAAGGTTGAACAATTGACATATTGGGGGTAGTAGCGATGCCCTTGTTACGTCATAACTTCTTGCTCCGTTCGTAGATCTAGGCCAGGAGCCGTCAATTGTGTAGCTCTTCTTTCAGGTCTCGACACCTCGACCGCAACCCCCAAGCCATTCCGATGTTGAGACCGTTCGTTCTGGGAAACGAGACGTTCGTGTACCCCCCAGCCAGTGCCAGTCTAATGTCGGGGCCCCCCTATTTGGTGGTTGATCAATATTCTTTCATCCTGGAATGGCCATTCATCGCGGAAAAATCGGAAAAAAGGTATCTTTCGCGGATCTTTCGCGGCCTCATCGCGAAGCATGGTCCTACAACCATGTCTAGCTAACATGAGCCGGAACATGTCATAGTATCACAAAATAGGGAGAGACATCTTGCAGCATGACCCCAGTAGATGGTTGAATGTTTCCACAGCTACTCAGGGTCACTTGCAGCATCTGTGCGACAATTGTGACAAATAGAGTCAGGCACAACTCAACCCAATCCTCGTGCCAGCTACCAACACAGGGTGATGCAACTTGGGGAATGTTGGGGGGGCCTCAAGCTGGGAACCTAGACTTTAGCGGCACATTCGCGAAGCTTTCGCGGATCTTTCGCAAAATTTCACCGGTGCTTTCCCCGGGAAGCCGTAACATTTGCAAACATCTGCACAGCCCGTCAGAGAAGCTGTAGGTCGTTGCCTCACTATCAGGGCTGTGCCTACCCAGATTACTAGTCTGTGACAGTGGGGACAGGAATCGGAGAATCCGTTACGCACTGCCAGGGCTGGGCACGGAAATGTTGAGGCTTCAGTTCGTTAGTCTGTGACATATGGCGACACTTCCGCCCACTGGCTCTGCCGGAGGATTGCCTTGCGTTTCTATTCTTTGTCAGTCCGGTAGAAAGGAAAACAATGAAATGGATGACCTTAGATATAAATCTTTCGCGGAAAAAACAGATACTTTCGCGAACCTCATCGCAAATCTTTCTCGGATGGTTCTAACAACATCTGAAAGGCTGTTTTATATAAAACTCCTTATACACGGGGTTTTCGATCAACTCCCATTTCATCCGATTTCAATACACACCACCTAGAAACCACCCAGAAAGTCTCAGAAAGTCTCTGCAGTGAACTCCACCAATGCCGCTGGTCCAGTTCGCCCTTCTTTTGCACAGCCCACGTCACGATCCGCTGGTCGACACCTGTGGGAGTCACGACGCCGGAAAGGACGGGAGTCGGAGTCGGAATCCAAGGGGGACGATGAATCCAAGCAGAGACCACATTTGTCCGAGCCCAACCAAGCCAATCAAGCCAATCCCGACTCAGGTCAACTCCTTCGGAAGTAGAAGATCAGGTTTTACTGAGTCTTTGGACTTGCAGGGAATTAGAATCAGAATAGATGGCTTAGATCCCAGTCCATAAATGAAGTGCGAGCCTAGTCAATGGCACGGTCACTCCGGTCACTCCGGTCAATCCCAGTCCCTAGGCCCAGTGAACGACTGTTACAGTGAACGACTGGACGCCCCGCCCCTGTCGCCATTTCATGACGGATCAAAACCGAGACACCCTGGTTGACCACCGAGAAAGAATAGCTAAGACTACTGTAAGACATAGTCAAGCTACCCTGGGCCATGGGGGTTTGCCCTACAGCCATAACCAATCCCCTAATATCCCAAATAGATCCAAAATGATTGCAAATAGTAAATTGACATGCTTACTCTGCTTTTCCATCCAGTAGCCACCCTTTCAGTGGTGCTGGTGTAAGTCCCAAATAGCTTCGTTCTGCTTCGTTTGCTCAGTCGCTGGATTCTACCAAGTTCCCATCTGATCGCTTCGTTTCTTCCACGCGCCTCGCACTCGCCTCAGCGAAAGAGGCTCCCTAATCCTGAGAGGATGCCCATGTCCGGCAGCCAGTCCATGATTCCCGACCTCGGTCGAAGCCAACGAAGCCAACGAGAGGAGCCGTCCATGTCCAGACGGTCCCCGCGATGTCGCGGGCGGGTTCAGCAAGACGCGTATCACAAGCAGGAGCAGGGCCCGAGTTCGGGGCCGGTAGGACGTCCGCAATGAAAAGTCCTGCATGGATTTTTGGGGCCTGTCATTGCACCAGGAGACCAGTTTTTTTTGTCCAACCGAGACGATCAGTCGTTCGCTACATGGTGGACCAGCACAGGCAATGAACAAGCCCCAATATGCTTAGATGCCCTCAAAGTACTATTGGATAGAATCTCGAGAACTGCTTTGATAATTCTTGAAGTCATGTTCGATAAAATACACACAATATTCCAGTTCCTATGCAACCCAAGAAACACATGTGTGTTCATGTGTCTGCATCTGTTCTTTAATGGCTTGTGTATCTGTTCGGTGCATTTTGCTGCTGGCTTCGACCATATGGCATACTATGCAAAGCAAACAAATAGCACATTATGAATTCTTTATGATTATTTTTGAAACATGTCGTCATATTGGATATGAATGGACTGCATCCTCCGTCATCCTCCATCTCCCCTCCGGTCCGGTGAAGCGATCGGACACGGTATACCAGGTCGACCCCCAAATCCAGTACGAAATGATGTTGGATTCAGCTTAAGAAGTCTGGAGTTGATCATCCGTGTCTCTGCTCGAAACAAGTCCCGCCACCAAGTCCCGCCACTCCTCCGAAAACAGCGGCGGGACCCGCGCGTGTTCGCCACCGCTTCGGTGGGAGAGAGAACCATGCCTACACACTCCATGTATGTGCATATGCCGAAGGCCAGGCCTACATCATCCACACCCCAATCGATCTGCCAGTGTCGCCAGTTTCGGCCAATGAGGCCCTCTCCCCGTGCGAGCCACGAACATCCGAGTTGCAAGACGCTCCCGCTCGGCTGCTCGGTCGTGTGGTTGCTCGGCTGCTCGGTCGGCTCCGCCCCGTCCGTGCGGCGCCAGCACCTCGCGGCCATTCTCGCGGCGCTTTTCGAAGCGGGGAGCGGAAGACTCGGCATTCCACGCATGGAAGGATCCATCTACCACACCCAAACCATCCAGGTGGCGTATTTCGATGACATGAAAACCACCCAGTACCACCACCAGTTTGGTAACCAGTGGTTCCAAATTACTAAAACCATGAACCAAACGAAACTCCGGTTCTGTATACGACTGGGATCCACTCATGCGATCAAAATCTTGTGGCCCTCCGGATTCACTCCAGCCGTGTGGAGCCTCTTCCGGGCGACTGGAAAGTTCGGCCGCTGAAGGTCGACATTTTGGGCGGACAAGAACCACGTCTGGTCCGCCGGAATTCCATGTGATTCGTGTCTGAAGATGAGGACGCTTACTACACGGAGCATTTCGGGCATCGCTGCTAGCATTCGGACGCTACGAATGGAGCTGCTGGCCTTACTACTAGGAGCAATGTTCGCTACTAGTAGCTATAGAAGCTATCTGACAAGCATTTGCAAGCTGCGTTGTGGGTGTGGCACTTGCTCCACCGTCGCAGAAATTCCGGCGACGCTTCAGCCTTCAATATGCGCACCATGGTTCCCAACAATTATATAGTAAAGGATCTGGTCTGGTGATCACTCCGCGCCTGGTGCTGGTGGCACCACTCGGACTGTTTGCCTGGATGGTGCCGTGGCCAGTGCCCTCAGCCCAGGAGAGGCTCCAGTCCTGTGAGGCCTTCGACGTGAACGGCGTCGCCGTCGGCGACGGCGGCGCCATCAGGTTTCAGCGAGTGATCGGTGCCTGTTCCCGACCGGAGGGTGGGTATCCCCTTAGGGCCATTTATGGGACGACCATATGTGGTCTTGTCCGGAACCAAGGAAAATCAAGGAAGGCAATTGAAGTGGTTTGCCGAAACCCACGTTTTTTGATGGCTTCACCCACCAAAGAAGAACAGTTCGTGACCCGAGCGTGTCCAGGTACCGTTTCGATCCTTCGGGTCTTGCGACTCGTGGTTTGCCATCGCCTGGGCGAAACACTTCAATCAGACCGGGACATGTAGGGCCGGGGCTTGGGCCGATCTTGCGGGGGTTGCACCCGTTGTGACCGAGTGATGGTCAGAAGGTAATTGAACTTGTTCAGACTGAGGAAGCTAGCTTCCTCCCACTCTCCGCCTGATCAAAGCCATCTTCCATCCGCAGCTCGCAACGTCCTCACGGTTTCAACGGCAAGAAAGGCCGCAAAGGTGCTCATGGAAGCTAAAGTTCATGTTGTCTACAGGCTCAAGCCAAGGGTGAGACACATTGAAGAGACACATTGGACAGCACGGGTTCTTGCCAAAAGAAACCGTATGCATGTGAACACAGAAAGTGTCCAAGTAGCCGGTAGCCCAAAGTGCGGGTGTAGTCAGTGCGCTGCCCTTTATATATATTTCAATTCACAACATTTAATTTGCAGTGACCTCAAACACCATTCCCTTGCATCCCCAAATGCAGTTTTACTTGCATACAATTTCCAACCACAAGCGAACGCAAGCTTCAAAAGGAAACATAGCAGCCGTAGCTTCTTCTTGCCCTTTTTTAGAGCAACAGTCGAAGTTTGGAAGTTTCCATGAATTGATGCCTCGGCAACACAAAGCTGTCTGCCCTACCCCGACAAGTTCATCCGTGACCATAGCAACTTCTCAGTAATTACACATGTTTATAGCTTCGAATTGGTTCCGATCGATATAATATAGTTTGGGCCCTCCCTGTCTGAATCAACCAGTATCATTATACGACTCTTTTCGGATGTGGAAAAGGTATCGAAGCAAGAACTCATTGGTAGCACCCAACAAACTAACTTGGAGCATCTCTATACTCTTTAACTTTGGACAAGGCATGAGGCAAATCCATCAGTGCATTCCTTGTTCTATTCTTGTACAAGTGTGCCCGTATTCACGCAATCTGTCTAGGTCGACATGTATGTTGTCACATTTAACTACCTCTTGTGCGCACAACTAACATCGACACAGCAGGCACTCACCCACAAATAAAGCTTGGTGGTCAGCGGTCTCCCTGTCGTTTGGTTGTCAGCGGTCTCCGGAAGCATTTGCTGTACAATCAATGTGATTCTGAAGTGCCTGTCTTTACCCGGAGTGACTAGGCACCAAAAATGGGCATGGACATACATGGACCCGCCTAGGGGCCCCAGTGACCAGCCGAATCGTATCATGTGCAACCAATACTTCTTGCATCAGGGTCTTGCATCAGGTGCTTTTCGGGCCAACCCGGTACAAGGAAGCTCGTAGTAGCAAACATTGCTCCGTTCGTCGCAAGGCCAGGAGCCCCTAGTACAAAGGCGTCCGATCGCTCCGATCGAGTCGCGATGCCAGGAGCCCCGATGGTAGCGAACATTGTTCCTCTTGATGGCAGGGTGGGGATGCAGAAATTTCATCCATCGACCTCACTCTGGCACCCGCTCGACCGAACCGCCCAGGAACTGCCGCCGCTCGACCGAACACCGCGTTCTCCTGCAGCAAAGGTCAGGCCATGGCATTGCTGTGCCGTGAAGAGCATGCAGGCATCTTTGCCTCGGCGAAGGACTCCCAACAGGCAAAATTAAATCAGACCCAAAAAGGTTGGAAAACACATAAAACCTATACCTGGATCTTCCAACTGTGACACATGTCTGCCTTTTCGTCCATCAAACCAGCCTTAAAGGTGGAAACTTTGCATAGTTGGAAGATCCAGGTATACCTGGACCCTCCAACAGGTCTCCGAAATGATGGCTTTTGCAGACTTACGAGTCGCAGGTGGTGACCTGTTGGAGGGTGCTGGTATATGCTTGTATTAGGTTGTGTTCATTTGGTCTGCCTTGCAACAACTGAAGATGGTAAACTCCGATGCTCTCAGAACTTGCCTTCGGACAGTGAGCGCGCCGGAAAGCGGCTAGGCGCTAGGCAGCTAGGTTAGAGGCAAGTTCTGTATCTGGACCCTCCAACAGACAGGTCTCCGACATGGTGCTGGTGACCTGTTGGAGGGTGCAGGTACTCTCTGAAACTGAGAAAGACTCTCAAACCAGCCAAGATAATGCCAAGAGACAACTCTTGAGTGTCACTGTGCCTTCGTGGCCAAAGGTGTCGTACTCCTTCCTTGATATGAAGCGGTGAGAATGCAGCGTTGTAATGTTTCTAGGATTCCAACCAGGAAGTGGTTTTAGATGGATTTAGTGGTTTGGAATCCCGAACCACCATGGTTTGACTATAGGATTTGGGGACTACAAAACCCGGTTGCCACCATTGTTGGGTATCCAACGGAAGGCGAACCAGTAGTTCCCTCGCCTCGCCTTGCATCGGGTTCTTCTTTGTGTGAGTATGAGAGTGGCTGCCACTCCCTGGAATCGTCGCGGAAGTGGACAAAAAACATCAAAAAAAAACATGGATTTGTACCTCAAAATGATCATCCAACTTGGCCCTGGCACTGGCTCCTGGCCCATGATCATTCCAGGGCAGTGTAAGAAAGCATGTCAGAAATCCGTTTGAACCACTCTTGTTCCAAGGAGACCGCCGTTCTGGAGAAGGAGACCGTTCTGGAGAACGCTTCCGTGGTCGCTCCGTTGAGATTCCCGATTGGCGACAGAAGCAACAAGAACTTCTTCCTGTTCCTACTCTGTTAGCTATCTTCAAGACTTGGGGTACCAAACATCCATTCTACACAGAATCAGCAGGCAACTCACTTCTATTTAGAGTGCTTTCAGTGTTGTTTCTAAAAGACCATACCAGATGTCTGCCACAGTTGATGGCCCCAAAAACATGAACATTACAATGGAATGTCCATTTGAGGAACAGATCGCATGTTTGTTTGCTTCAACATGAGCAACTTATGTTTCATTGAATGCGAATTATTCAGCTCCGCCCAATGGGGTCAGCAATCAAAGCAACTTGGATCTCGGTATTCCCAAAGCAACTTGGTACATCACTGCCGTTTTGTATCTACTCCGCCTTGAAGACTAACGTGGACCCTGAAAAAGACTAACGTGGGCAGAGGAAAACCATGTTCCAAGGGGTGCCATACTGTTCTATAGGCTTACACTCCCTGGAATCGTTGCGTGGATGCCATGGCAACTGGAGGATGGGTCAAAAAACCATTTTGGGACGGGTACAGCGGCGTTCCAAAAGGGTCCAGTTGGAGGCGAAGTTGGCCGCTGATCTCTCCCGCAACGTGATTCACGTCATGTTGGCCGCTGTGTGGCTGCGTTTTAACCCAACGAATACGATGTCTTCATGAGACAAATCCTGCATGGGGGAAGAAGCAATGGCAGGTAACTGTATGCCTTCAAGACTGTATAGACATGTAGGCACTAGAACTGCTTTTTGAACCTCTGGACACTCTGAAGACTAGCGGGCAAAGAATGGCCTGTTCTCCCTATCACTTTTTTTTAGCCCGAGGCACCCTTCCACATCAAGGCAGGATCCAGGACCCACTTCCTGGGGACCAGGAACTCGCGTTTCAGCGCTGATATGACTGGGATCGTTTCAGCGCGCCCCTCGGCTTCGTCAAAATCGAATTTTCCTTGTAGAGTTCGCAAGACTGACAACTCACCCGAAGCAGGCGAGTTAAAGTGCAAATGGTTTGACCATTTTTGCAAAAGTACTTTGATCACATATGATCGAACCACATATTTAGATCACATAATACCTGGAGCATCCAATACTTGTCCTGGCTGAAGATCCCAAGTATACTAGTCCATTGGACATCCATTGGATGATCCTGGTAGGTGTTCCATATAGAAAAAAGGGGTGCTACCTTGCAGCGCTTCGCGGGCCCGGAAAAGAACAATCAAAAAAAAACCTGAACATTTGAATCATCAACTCCACCTTCCCAGGGAAACCACATTTTGGAGTCCCCAGTATGTCTCATGAACCAGTGACCATCCTCTTGAATTTTTTCCGAGCCGACCAGAGGATCCAGTTTGGAAGATCTGCCAGCGATCGACCTTCAAACGGCCCAGCCTTCCCACCCAAAGGGCCCATCGACCAAATGGTCAAAAAACGTGTTCACCACTCCTCGAAAGGCCCCTCCATGGCCAACAAGGGTTTGAGCACCTCCATCGCAAGGTCAGCACTGTGACGAGGACCCTCCGATGTTCGAAATTCTGCCGACCTCTGACACTGGTGGCCAGAACCTGGTTGCCATAGCCAGAATCCCCATTTCAGGGCCTTGTTCAGGGCCTGGTTCTGGCAGCTGGTCATTTCAGGAACTCGGCCTTTTGTGAAAAACCACAACCAAATGAACCCGCCTTTGCAAAAAACATCAATTGAATTGTTGGGAGACCCTTGGGAGCAAAGATCACCTCAGCAAACCGAGTCGTGGTGTCTCTTTTGCGACCTGAACATGGCGACGTAAAACAGCCGGGACCCGAGTTCTGATTTTTGTTGGTGTTCAATCCTTGTGATTTCGTGGGTCCATGCTTGCATCGACCAGGTGAGCGAGGGTCTTGGGGAAGTGCAGAGTCTTTTCCTACTGGAGAAGAAAAACAAAATTTTACAAATGAAGATGGTGGGACCATGGAACATATAGAGATGTGTTGAGTAACTTACATGTGTGTGTGTGACTTGTTCGTGAATTATCAAATCAATCACAGAAAGCGAGCAAATGACGTACATTTTGATTTTTGGTTTTGCAATCACTTGCAGCCGCTTGCTCAGGCAGCCACTTGGCAGCCACTTGTCACTCAATCAAGCAAGTAAACTTCAACACTGTACTTTGAGTTCATTCTTTATGTAAAAACTGTAAGATTTCTTCGTCGCTAGCTCTGCAGAAGTTTGGAATTTCTCGGAAAAGTCTTGGATTATCTCATGATTTCACCGCGCGCAGCTCTGGAGAAAACAGGACTTTGATTGCAGAACAGCATTGCAGAAATCTTGGTTTTCTTCAGAACTGCGTGCGGAGAAATCACGATATTCTCCGGACAGAAGTAGCAGTCACTTGCAGCCACTTGGCAGCCACTTGCAAGTGGCTGCAAAATTGAAATTCAACATGCGCACGTTCTGCGAGCTCAATGATCAACCGAAATGGATTCATGTTCGCCTTCAAATTTCTAGATCCATAACTACATCAACATCCATGGTGGCATCTCCCTACAACTCCAAGCACCCTCTAGTAAGTTGAGACCAGTCTTGTGGGCGCCAATAGATCCATGTTATACCTTCGGGTATAGGAGGTACGGTACGACTGGAGCCCGCCTGGGTATCCATGGGGTCCTTGTTGTTCGGTGCTTTCGAAGACGTTTGATTACTCGATGTCAATATGTCTGCTAGTGAGGCTTGTCTGGCGTATCTCCTTCCCCACCTCTTGTTCACGCTTGGGGTCCCTCAGCCTTCGCTATGCCTTCGCTCAGGCCTTCACTGGTGTCGGCATCTAGTGCTGTGCGGGAAGCCACCAGTCTGCAAGTAATGACTCAATCTCAAGACGCGTCTTCCCATTGATCCCACTTCAGGTATATGTGCCTGAATTCTGGGCAGCTTGCTGCTCTTGCACCTGTCCACGGTCACCCGCTCATCTCTTGCCGGCGCTCAGATCTCCAGCATCCCAGTTTTTGGTACTGGTCGCCATGAAGAGGCTGCTGCTGTTGAGCTCAGTCTTGACTGTGGCGCGGGACATCAATTGCCACAATGGACCACCAAAGTCACCACTGAGTTCAGTTCGAAGTTCCTTAATTTGTTCCTTTTCATGTGGCCGTGTCCTCCCTTCATGGTGCCGCAGTCCAGTCGTCCTCCCATCAATGCCCCGAAAATCGAGGGCGCCCACTCAAAGAACACTCCCATTCAGAATTTGGAATGCAACGCTGCACTGCACTCACCAGTCGGTCGGAAGCACTGTCCACACTTGTCCTCCTCCCAATTGGCTCATGTAGGCACCGTCCAGCCATCCGAGGCTGCTTCGACAAGGCCATCAATCTTGGCGTGCTTCCATCCATCATGACGCACCAGCATGTCCGGCACTTTGGGCTATGAGGGTCCTGGGCTCTGCGGGGAAACTGAAGAGTTGTGGCGTCATTCCCTACCGGATTTTTGTTGTTTCGTCCTCCCAGCCAGGTTAATTTAGGCCCTATAGCATGGTGAGCTGCCGTCGGTTCATGTTAAAAACTGGATCTTTTTGTTCGATCTGGTTGCTCCCAGCAAGCTGCCTTTGGGTCCTTGGCATGCGGGTAAATTCTCCTTACCGGATCTTTTTGTTGAGGTTTCATCCACAATCCACACCAACGCACGCAAGATCATTGCCAGTCCTGCAAGATTCCACGTCCGCAACGCGGTGGCCTCCATGTTCTTTTGCCTCCTTACGCCCAGGCGCTTCAAGTATAGCGTTGAAAGAATTGACTCTGCAATGCCTTCATTGCCCCATCCACCAAATCAAAGCAATGCGGCCAATCTTTTGAGGTTCCTGTAGGTCTTTTCGTCTACAGATGGCCTGGGTTTCTCGATGCGGCTACGCTCTCTCCTTCCTGCGACAACAACTCTGCTTTGCTGACGCCCACGCGATGATGGATCAGGAAATGAAGACGAAGACCCCTGTGACTGATATCGCTCGCGTGGCAGAAGCGTAGGAGGCATCCGCAAGAATTTCCAGTCTGGATGTTGAGGCCCTCTGATGGCATTGCTCTTGTGCCCCAAACGTTTCCGGGCTTTTGGTGCTCCTTGACATACTCCAATCGATGATGCTCTGCGCACGCTAAGTACTCCAGAGCCTCCTTGGCCCCCCTTGACCGGCGATGTGTCAACCGGCTATAAGCAGTCCAGTCTCGCATATGATGTCACCAACCGCTGCAACTCTTCCACCAGCATCTGACACTGCTTGAGCACGTTGACGTCCATCTGCTCGTCCGCCTTGTCCTCCTCAACCTCATGCTTCTGCAACAATTCGCGGGAGTCACTTTAATGATCTCACCATTGCCTTGTTTGGATGTCCATTGGTCTTGCATCTGCCCATTCCTCCTTGGTGGGTGCCCTTCTTAAGCAATGGGTTGCACCGCTGTCCAACAAATTGTTGACCTGGTTTCTAACCCGGTTCACAGTCATAGACCGACGGGTCCGCATCTGCAGTCGTTCTTGCACTTGTCCTTAAATTTGGGAGCCCTCACCGATTTCAACAATGAGGTTACCTCTGACATCAGCCCTCCTTCCATGCCACCACTCCCCCAGCGCCATCCTGTGGGACTGTGGTTGTTGATGACGCGGTCGTTGTAGTCACCTGAGTCTCCTTTGGCTTCGTCGATGAGGTTTGTCTGGTTGGGTTCTTCTTGCTTGGAGGTCCTCAACCCCTGCCCATGCGTTTTGGAACAGGCATCTTTCACCTCGCGATCATCCTCCAGGTGTGCACCATTTCCTGCATGGTGTCTGGGGGTATTGATGAAGTTTGCCCATTCAGTTGTTTCACTTTTAGCTCTGTATGTTCATTCTTCTCCATGGCAGTTGTTTTCGTTTCTGCCTGCAAGCGGGCTTTGATATCCAGATTTTTCCGCCTCCAAGTTTGTATTCTGTGCTGATTTCCAACACTGGAAGCGTCACATCAAGCTCACCAGCACGGACCACCTCACGAGAGCAAGAACGAAGTTTCTCTATGGCATCGCTTGCCGGTGCGGCCATTGTGGCCAGCTTAGGAAGATGTTTCGATGTTTCTTCCTTTGGTGGTCATCCTTCTGGCACTTGGGTACCACCTGGTGTTGTCCTTCTCTTTGCCACAGAGAGGACTGGCGTTGTTGAAGTCCGCGGGTTCTCCATCGAAATCGGTGTTGACATCTCCTGTTTCATGCCCCAACAAATGGGGTCTTACCACCAACCCTGATTGGGCTCCAGCGTTGGGCTCATAACCTGTGGAAACATACTTTGAATCCATTTGAATCATATCCATGTGGAGTTCCGTGAACAAAAATCCATGTCCGATGCCATCATGTTCTTTCGCTCAGCACCACCCTGCCTTGTCCACGATCTCCGCACGAGCCTCCGCTTCCAAAGCCTCACGGATCACCTGGCGCCGCTCGCTCGACCGGCCACGGATCGAAGACGGGTCGATGCGTTCGCCGGTTTAGAACAGGTTGAAGAACCCGAACTAGACCAGCCCAGTTGCGTACCCTAGGTGACGGGTCCTAGTCTGTTCAGGTCACTTAACCTACCTCTCTTGGTGTTCACCAACGATTTTGGGGAACTCACCGATGCTCCTGCCGGTCACCCATGAGCAGGGTCGCAAGGGGTTTCAAACGGTCACCGGTCGCGCGCCTGGGGCGACTTGCAGGTGGCTGACGCGTTGATCACATGCACCATGACCTGGTGCATGTGCTTGTGCGTGAAAGCAAAACAAGAAGACTTATATGATAAAGAAGAACCTACTAGCGATGGCCTCCAACCTACTAGCGATGGCCTCCAACTCCAACCTACTAGCGATGGCCTGCAACCTACATATATATATATATATGTAATATATACTAAAGCAAAGGCCTCAAACTCCAACCTACTAGCGATGGCCTGCAACCTACTGAAGCGATGGCCTCCAACCTAATAGCGTGGGGAATGTCCGGAAAGAGAAGCAGTGAAAAGATGACATGGGACGAGTCGAGTCACCTGAGACGCAGCCGAGTGATTGATGGGTGATTGATAGGATGGAGTTGGCCTCATTGGCTTGGGCGAAACAACCATTCCGACATGGTTTCAATCGTTGACGCGTTTCAATCATGTTGTTCCCCCAAATTGGTCGCAGCCATCCACCACACACACGCACCGCCAAATCCAGGTCGCATCAAAACCGCAAAAACCGGTTCGAAACTTGGGCGCAGGGGCCACTGAGCCAGGTTGGTCTGGAGGAGGATCGGTCGCATCATCACTCTTCAAATATTGTAGGAAGACCTGCAGAGTCTAGGAGCAAAGGGCATCGCTACGAACGGAGCAATGAAGCTACGATCGGGGCTCCTGGCCTTTCTACTAGAGTAACAAGAAGCCATTAGAAACGATAAAATTAGGATTAGGATTTAATTAGAATGGTGTCTTTTGGCAAACAACTCCTATCCGCTTGGGCTGCACGGAGTCGTGTCGGAGGGAGGCTGGACCGGCGTAAGGACGTCACCACAACAAAAACCAGGAAGGATAGCAGTGTTTTCTATGATGTGATGTTTATATATATGGTTCACAGCAAAATGCTGGATGCTGATGGATGTGTTGCTTATCACGAAAAACGTGGTTTGGTATTTGCTTGCACCCAATGGGTGAATCTATGGTATTTGCTTGGCATCTGGTCGTCCGTGTTGAAGTTGCCTGCATCTGGGGATCGCGACCCATGGATTCGTGACGGTGCGTGCGCACACATCCCTTTGCTCCTCCACCCCGAAAGACGGTCCGGTCTGCAAAAGTGTATATGCAAGTACTTAATGATATCTATCTAATCATTCTGCGACAACATGATTCTGTGATGTCGCATGTGCGTGCGCATCACAGATATGATCATCATACGGTCCCATGAAAAAAAAAAAGAACCTTCAACCTCTTTACACACCGGTAACTCTTCACAACCGGTGGCCGAATCGATCCGGATCGAACTTCGGAACATCCGAGTTCCGCGCACTGGTCGTCAGTCCGAGTTCGATCACCGGTCGTCAGTGTCCAGACACCACAACCCATGGGACTGCGGACTGCCGCCCCAGACAGACCCCCAGTCAACCACCCCTGGCCGTTTCTCGGCAGTATTGTGGCAGTCCCATGGGTTGTCGTGTCTTGGGGCATGTACCGTTTAAACAATGGTCGAGCTCTGGACTCCCAGGGCATATACCGACATCGGTGCATGTGCCGACATCCGGACAAACTGCACTGCATCTCATGATGTGTTGGGATCTTTTGGGGCATTGAAATAGGGAGACCTCCCAGGGGTTCCGACCTCCCAGGCGTTCCAACCTCCCAGGCGTTCTGGGAAGATCAAAGATCCTGTAAAACCCATTGGTTGGAGTGTCCGTCTCGCCGGTGTCTATAGCCGTCTCCAATACAAACCCATGTCGTAGACGACATGCATCGGTCCTTCCCGGACACACCCGGACACACTCTCCGGTCCTTCCCATCCCGATACATTTTCAACTTGCACAAGAAAAAGTCAGATAAGAAAAGACTTCTCTCACCCTACAAAAAAGCTTCCAACCACCATTGATGAAATGGTCTTTGCGAACACGATGAACATGCCAGTTCAATTAAAGGTAGGAGCCCCTTTCATGCACGGCGCCTGTACGGCGACCCTTGGCACATCAGCCAGCAATGCCACAGCTTCGATGATGGAGTCCTGTTTCAAACGCGGGAAGGTGATGAAGGTGAGAAGTGCCACAGACTTCTCGTGTTGCTCGTTTCGTTCAGTCTCCGAATGTCTCCGATGTGGCTGGTGGAAACAAAGAAAGCGAGCCTGTTTCACAGTGAGCCATCCGCATTCTGTAAATCATGGTAAATAGCTGAGTCAGAAATGGAGTGTGATTCAACCGTGGATCGTAGAAAAACATGTCACGCCTTGGTTCATGCCATGTTGAGCTCCATGAGTTTGCTCCTATGTTTGCGAACCGGTGGTCCTTTAGACGAAGAATCTGGAGACACTTCAGCCGAACATTGCCGAAGCAGATCACAGATGTCGCAGGTAGGTGACTTCAATCAATCCCCAGACACTCCATGGGACTGCCATATATGCCGATCAGTTGGGGTGGTTTTGGGGGTCAATGGGGCGGCAGTCCTATGGCAGTCCCATGGGTCGTCGTGTCTGGGATCAAATCCTTGTTGTTTTGGTCTTCTAGACCCAGACGCTCCCTCCAAAACCTAGGGAATGGTTCGACCCCAGACCCCTCCAGAGGATTCGGGTCCGCCCCCTCCATATGAGGGTCCAGGGTCGCGTCTAGGTCCAGGTAGACCCACTTCTAGACCCTGGAAGATGCCAAATCACTTCAAATCACTCCGGCCCAATTCTCGGCTGTGGCACTCTGGCACTTTGCAGAGTCAGACGTCTGAAGTTCGATTCTCGGATTGTCGGATTCTTGCAGAAGGCATCACCCAAACTGTGACTGATTCGGTGAGGGAGGGTCTGAGCGCTGGATTGCGAATCAGTGGTTGAACATTGGCGCCCACTTCTCCGGGCTACGGGCTACAGGGCCTAAAGCCATGACCCTTCAGAAAACAAAAAACCTCATGACGAAGCTCCAAATCCCTTTGGGTCCCCATCCCTTCTCTGTCTTCAACCCAAAGAAGTTCGGCCTTGATTGCCTCGGAGCTGAGAAAGGTTCGCACGTTCGAGACCTCCAACACTTCATACCTTGCACCAGAACCGCAGGCGGCGCATGCTTGTTCTTGCGGCGCATGCGCAGTATCTCTCTCGACGAGGAAGTGTAACACACAGAGAGTTGCATGTAAGACGAACAAAAGGATCTTTCACGATTTCATGAGTTTGGCAGAGGCAAGGAAATACAGAAAAACAAGGCAATACTGTATCTCTGCAGAACCTTTCTGATATCAAAAAAAACTGGCAACCAGAGGAAAAAGGAATCATTCGGAATGATCGTTTTCAGCAGGTTCAAAGCATATAGAGTGCACAAACTCCAAAAGCCAAGATCATTGTATGTCACTTTGAGTCAGCTTGACAACGCGCAGCTTGTGGCGATGGATTCAAGGAGGACGCCTAAAGTCAAGTCATGTGTACAAACACCTTGTTTGCAGCTGTAGTTCAAAGCATGGTCAGTTGCATTCATGTCACGCGGGATGTGTTGATCAATGTTGATCATCATTAGCGCAGCAAACATTTCATGTCTGCGTGCAGGAACATTGTCTAAAGAGCATGTCGACACTACGTAGAGGGTCAGCTAGCTCACACTAGGGAAACATTTAACCCACCATAAACACCATGAGATAGCGATATGTACCATGAACAGCAGGTATCTGATGGACCGTGGCTGGTACATCGTGGTACATCAACTCATCGGCCGCCCATCAGCATCTTCAACACTTCAACTCATTGCAATGATCTGAACTCCAGGGCTGGTCAATTGCTCTTGGAAGACACGGACTAGTGTTGAATAGGCGACGTCCCGGGGTGGTTCCAATCCCACAACGTTCAAACAAAAATCAGTCACTGGTAGAAACACACTGCTGACCATCTGTCCTATTCTCTGACTGGTGCCAGTCGAGAATAAGGAACTGACCGTCCCAATAGTATAGTTTACTATAAAATCATATTGAATCCATTCCCTCCTTCCTGACTAAATCGCACCAGTCACTTCATGAATATTTGTCCACCCCCTGCAAATTAATCCCATGCCTCCTAGTCGCCCCACCACATTGCCACTCGCAGCCGCACCGGTTCCGGTGACGCTGCAGGCGCAAAGCCGCCGGTGGTTCCGGTCCGCGGGCGCCGCGTCGCAGGGCGCGGCGTCATTGCCGAAGAAGCAGGGATCGCCCTGGCGAGGACTTGGTGTCGAGTGCAGGGTGGAGCTTTGTGGAGCTTCGAAGGGTCCGCCCAAATATCCGGAGCTGTCGCTGGTCTGTAAGTTTGTGTTTGTGCTTGGCTTGGGCAAATCATGAGATGCTTTTCTTGAAGCAACACATCATTGTTGTGGTGTGCTTTTCGCTTTTTGATCCGTCCAATCACACGATATCACACGACAATAAAACACTGTAATGAGAGACCATTGCTGGCTTGGCCCATGTTTTCAATATCCACTGCAATCGCACGGAAAAAGGATCAGCTAGTTGGGGGGTAGGGTAGCTTGCACAGTCGTCCTGCACAGGAACAGTTTACTATGTCTAGTTTTCTGAGCGCATATTATCCGAGTACCTATTACAAAACACTCCCCAACTTTCAATCAGGACTCGTGATGGAGACCCTTACATACGGCTTACATTTACTTCGGCGACTTTGGAGCTGCATTTACGTTCCTAAATGACCTGTCCACCCCTGTCCACCCTGATGGTCTACTTGGGTGTCCACCCTGGCTGTCCACCCTGGCTGTCTACCCTGGCTGTTCATTGCTGGTCGTCGCCTCCCTGCAACTCTCGTTTCGGCTGTCTGGCTACTGTCAGGCTGTCTGTCTGGCTGGAAAATGCCCACAGCACCACAACGAGAGCGCAGTCTCGAAGAGCACCTGCGTCCGCTTCGAAGATCTCAAGGTGCTGCTTTGGATCGAACATGAGGTTTCATGATTAAATGTTGAAAGTCTTCACATCTTCGGTTTCTCCTTCATTCCTTCCTTCATTCATGCCTTCATCCATGACCCACTTCCTCGCTGACACTCTCACCCATTTGCGAACTGTCATCTCTG